GGAAGGCAAGATTCTGGCAGTCATCCTGTTTTGCTGATATGTATGAGGATAGACTTGAAATTTCGATCACACTAGATCAACTTCATCTACTCCTGGGAATGATTCCAGGTCTTATAGAAACAGAATACAGGCTGCTGTCTCCAAATGACTGTCAGTTATCTCCTGTCTCCTGCAACTAGCTTTCGGCTACTTCCTTGTTATGTAAATTTGTTCCCTGCCTCTGGTGACATTGAGTTGCAGGTTTGTTCCAAACACTCTGTGGATCTTCATTTTAACTGAAATAGCATATACTGGCAAATGTTTTAATTACCAATTTCTTTGTTTAGATTTAGAACAATGCTAATTATTTTAGAATGTGGATCATAATAATGATCCACTGTAAATATTGGTTAATCTACTAGTTCTGGAAGTTCTGAAACAGAACCATATGCATGGTGCCTTTGAAGACCATCTGGAAGCTGCAGTTGGTGCAAAATGCAGCAGCTCAGTTTTTGGTAAATAAAAGCTGCTATGGACATATTACATTTGTGCTGCAGGTCCTGTACTGATTTCTGAAGGTTCCAAGATGCAATTTAAAATGCTGATATTAAGCTATAAAGCTCTATATGGCTTAGCTTCCCATGGGAAAAAAAAGATTAATTATTCCTTCTTTTCAGAAGGTGAGAGAAGAAATGGCCTGGAAGCAGAGATTTTTTTTTACTAATAATCCCTAACTTATTATATTATTGTCTGATGCTATTGATACTCATATTGTTATATGCATATTATTAACCACTGGGAATCTCTATGTGATTTTACATGTTTGATAGATAGATAAATAAATAAACAGATATATTTAATAGATTTAAACCAATCTTGTTGTATCCTTCTCTGGTTTCTGAACAATCCATGCAGACAATAAATATTTCTTCTGAGAAGAGAAAGTGCTCAGTGCCTAAATGCACATTTGTTCCCTGATGCTTGAATTTATTGCATCAGCCATCCAACTGGGCTGCCCATGAATACTACTGGCCCTATGTCCAATTTATTTGATCACTGCACCTAATTATTATTGTTGAACAAAGGAACAAATCATTATAAAACATAGTCACCTCTTAACTTGCTCACTGTCAGCATAGCCGCAAAGACAACAAAATCACCTGAGCTTAAGAAATGGAAGCTTTTGTAACTGAAATATGCAATTGTATGTATCTGCATATATAGACAAGAACATTCTGTGCTACAGGCAGGGTACATTCAAAAGGAAAATTCAATTTGCACATATTAGAATGTTCAAAAAAAGTTTAGCCACTCCTGCATAGACTAAATTTCAATATTGTTTGCTTTGTTCCTGAAGAAAATAGTAAATAAACCAGATGTATAAAGGCTGTAGAGCTGAAGGCCTTATGCTATATTTGTACACAGTTTAGAAGCTTGCAACAGCAACATAGGTAACTGACAGCACAGTAAAAACAGGTGGTAGTTGTTCCTTTGAAAATCTTACCTTCATTGGTGACATGGAACTACTGTAAAAATTGTGATAGGGACCAGTGAAGGAGCAGTGAGTATATATTGCTAAAGAGTTTAAATTCTAGAACAAGTTTGAGAGATTCAGAGTGATTGAATCTATCTGGTGATCTAGAAAAAGTTCACTGTACTGCAAGCATTCAGAAAAAACCACACATCATGTACAGGTAGTCCTTGACTTACAACCACAATTGAGCCCAAAATCTATGTTGCTCATTTGTTAAATGAGTTTCACCCCATTTTACGACCTTTCTTGCCACAGTTGTTAAGAGAATTACTGAAGTTGTTAAGTTAGTAACACAGTTGTTAAATGATTCTGGTTTCCTCATTAACTTTGCTTGTCAGAAGGTCACAAAAGGGGATCACATGATCCCGGGACTCTGCAACCATCATAAAACTGAGTCAGTTGGCAAGCATCTGAATTTTGATCACATGACCATGGGTATGCTGCAATGGTTGTAAGTGTGAAAAAAGGTCATAAGTCAGTTTTTCAATGCTGTTGTAACTTTGAACAGTCACTAAATGAACTGTTGTAAGTTGAGGACTACCTGTATGCATAATAATGTATGTTTACTTCCAAATTAAAGAATTATTAAAAAAAACTCTGCCCGCTTCATCAGATTAAATTTGATGAACTAAGAAAGAACTAGGAGGGGGGGTGTTTATTAATTTGATTAAATTTACATCCTGCCTTTTCTATAGGCCTTATTCAGGCATGTTACCTGAGAATCTTCCTCCATTTTTATCCCACAACAATAACTGAGATAAATTGGTCAAGAGAGAGTTCAAATGTTCCTAATGAGTCTTTACGGTCCTAGGACAACACTTTAACCTCTACACCAAATTTGGCCATCTCTTGATTCCTATATTAGATTGAACAGAATCACAAACACAGTAAAGGCCTCAAAAGTAGAACAAATTTGAATGTGTTAATATTCAGAGCACCACAGAGATAGAGTATTGAAGAAATTGATCTATTTCTCTTCAAGGATAATATTAGGGTGGAAAGGAAGAAGGGGAAGAGCAGTCATTTCCTGAATGACATTTTTAGTTTTTGATCAGAATGAATGATTTTAGCAGTGAATGGTTTCAGGAAAGCTTATCAATCACTAGGAAAGTTCACTGTTTGCACAGATAGTCTGAAAAATGGTTAAGGTGTTGGAGTACTTATTCAAGTCCATCCTCAATTGAAGTCCATCCTCTGTAAGTGACTTTGGGCTTATCACTTTATCTCAGTCAACATCACAAGGTTCTTGTGGGTCAAACTGAAGGAATGAAATTATATGCATGCTATTTTCAGCTCCGGGAGTAAAGGTGGAATATAAAGCTAACCAAATAAATCATAATGCATTGGGGAACAGGATGCTGAAGTACTGCATAATAGGACTGTACAATGTTCAGGAAGAAAAGTTTGATGACATGTATGAGATCTGGCAAGATATATAGCACTGAATATTTGGAACAGACTGGCTAAAATCCTTTTGCCTTGCCACTGATCGTTCCACATTTCTCACCCAACCAGGTCCTAGTGCATTTTTATGATTTTAGTACTAATTGAGTTAAATGCCAAAAAGCCTTAAACTGTTTTACATCTATCACAATCCATTAATCCTTCACCTGTTTTTTGAAATGTCATAGCTAATGCAACTTCAGTGCCATGTGCCATTTTCATAATTATTTACCATCAAGTCTACAACACAGCTAACATAGGAAATGTAGACTTTATGTAAAAACCAAAAAGAAAACATTTTGGAATTATAAAGGCTGACCTCGCCTCCCCAAGCGTTTTTTTTAATAACCTGCCTTTCAGCTGCATTGTGTTTCTCCATTCGCTTCTCAGCCTTCGCCGCGTGTTTATGGGACAAAAAAAAAAGAAAAAGAAAATTCAATCAGACTTTCTAACTTCTTGAGAGAGCTCACAAAGTTAGAAAGTTTGATTGAACTTTTCTTTTTTTTGTCCCACAAACACGCGACGAAGGCTGAGAAACAAACAGAAACGTAATGCAGCTGAAAGGCAGGTTAGTAAAAAAACACTTGGGGAGGCGAGGGCATCTGGGCAGGGGGGCGTGGCAACCTTACCCTGCACAGCTTTGGCAGATGTCCAGCAGGCAGAGAGAATTCCATCCCCCTGCCACCTGCTTTGCCTCTACCTCATGGTGGCAGCGGCAGCTACCGGCCAGGTGGAAGGCAATCCGGTAGGAGCAGCCGGTAAAGGTCAAAAGCGCTCAGTTGGTATGAGAGGCACAATGCCCACCAGGGCCCAAAGAGCACCAGGTTCAGCCCTTAGCCCAGTACCTGCAGCACCAAGTAGGCGTGCAGGCTGGTGGCACTCACCAGCTCAAAGGCAGAGGTGTGGGTGGCACGGTTTTACTGGCAGCCACTGGAAAAGGGCCCTGGCAGGCCAATGGGGGGTGGTGCTCCGGTGGTCGCATGGAAGATCTTGGCCAACTCGCCCTGCGCCAGGCAGAAACAACCCAGGAGGGCAGTCTAGAGCAGCACAGCCAAGAGGGCAAAGAGCCCCACAAGGCCAGCAGCACAGGCAGCCACTTGGCGGCTGCACAGCACCCAATGTGGCCAAGAAATGTCCCAGCAGCAGTAGGGCCAGCAGGCAGGGTGGGTGGAGACTGTGGCTCACTGAGGTTTTGGTTTGTTGCGGCCTCAGGCAAAGTGTTATGATTAGTAGTGATAATATGAGAGTTATTGGTTAGGTCCCATTGAATTGGAATTCATGAAGTTCAGTTGCAATTTTCAATGTCTGTCATTTTACAAACTAACATTTTAAGAATCATATTCTTGGGTGTTCCCTTTGCAAATGTCAAGCTTCTCTCCCAAAAGGCAGATGAACTCTAAAAATGAGACAGTTAATAAATGAAGTTAATAGTCCACTTGATATGGAATTTAATATATCTCATTCATATTTCAGATTATGTTGCATATTCTTATTGTTTTAGAGTACTCTATATCAATTCTGTTGGTGGAGTTGATCAATCTTTCAATGAAGTGAGTAATTGACTTGTAAACTTTAGTTAGATAGCCTTGGCCCATGAAAAGTGCCTAGCTGAGCTAGGCATTTTAAGATTAGATATGAGCTTTTTTCCTAGCTTTTTTACAAAGCATTGATATTAAAAACCCAATTTCTCTGCTATCTAGGAAAGTCTTAAAGCAGGACTTTTTTTCCTTTAGCACCATGTTCATCAAAGTTTTAAATTCAGAGATAAAAAGGTTTGTTTAAATTTGAAAGAAGAAAACCCTAACAAAAACTTTATTGGTTATTGGGAAATAGCATTGTTGCAACATCAGTTACAATAATTTCCTGGAAAAGTTTTGTTTTTACAGCTTCAATTTAGCTTCCTTTGCTTTCTTTCAGCATTTTTTCCCTAAAATTTCTCCATTGTTTCAAGAAGCAAACATCGTTGGGGTGTATGTGTGTATCCATATTTACTTCTGTTTTCATGATACACCACAGCCTTTTTGGCTGCAGTTCTTTTGTATTTGCCTTCCCTGTGATAGCACTTATGAGATTCAACTGGCCCTAATCTTGTTATCTTTTAAGAAGGCTTTGAAGACATGATTGTGGACAAGATGTTAGATAAACTACTGAGGTAGGGGTGTGTGTCTCAAATGTGTACCTGCTTATTGTATTTTTAGTTACTTCATGTCTATTGTAATTCTGTTTTTATTGTTGCATACACTGTCTAGAATCACAATTTTGGAGCAGCTATATAAATTTGATAAATCAATAAACAAAGAGACCATAAAATCTCTGGTGAGAGAACTATACAGAAATGGATGGGGCATTAATTGTTCACTTAGTCCTCTTTTACATCATTGATATGTTTGAACTTTTGGAAAAAATAGCTTTTCAAATTAAAATAATTTTTAAAATTATTAAAAAATTAACAATTAAATATTAATTTTTTTAAAAAGTCAGAATACTTTGTACACTCAGGAATAGCAAAATAGTAGTGTGAAATCTCACAAAGACTCTTGGCACCTAAATGTCAAGGTAATTTCATAATGGATGAATATATGCAGCATGTATCTCTCAACATAAAGAACTAATTGTGACCATCCCTTTAAAATAAGTGTTTCTAGGTAATGTGGAACTTCTTACTTAGTCCAATATTTTAATTACACCTGAAAACTTTTTTTAACAATACTCTTATATAAAAATGGATCAAAATTTCCATAACAATGGTGCTTTATTTCATTAAACAAATGTCCCTGCAGATTTTTATAAAGGACATTTGTTTTTCCTTACAGATCATCTGGAGGCAGTGTTTCTATAACACATGCAATGAAATATCAGCAACTAGTTGTTGTTTCTTCACAACAGACTGCATTACTCTGTGAATGCCTCCAAATACATGCATAGCCCACTAATATCTAAAGTATGTTTGAAAAAGACTCTTCACAGTTTCCAAATTATAAAAATGCTTATTCACTTTGTTGAGGATGCTTTAGTTTACTTCCATATTGCCATGTCTAAGACTGCCTCTTTTATATAGATAGTGCATAGTCAGTTAAAAGATAATGAAAATGAAAAGGCAAAAGAAAATAAGAACATGTAAGCATTTTAGAACTGAAGAATAGACTAGGCTAGGCTAGGCTAGGCTAGACTAGACTAGATTAGACTAGACTAGACTAGACTAGAATACTTTATTGGCCAAGCGTGATTGGACACACAAGGAATTGTGCATAAGCTCTCATTGTACATACAAACAAAGTAATATAATAATAATAAGATATTGATAGAAAAAAGTAGTGGAACAGATGATAAGGATATTTGTATTTTAAGAATTGTATTGCCCAATGGATAGATCTGCCAAAGTTTTAGTTAAATCTAAGCACAAACTCTTTACCAAATGCGTCGCAGAGAAATATGAAGGATGGGTGCTCTAAATTTCTCCAAGGGAAGGAGAATTTCTTTAATAAATTCCATAAAGAACAGGAACCTACCTTGATAGTGACAATAGCATTACTACGCACCCAATGGAGGTGTTCTTTCATTATGGCTTTCCTTGGGATTTAATGGAAGGATGGGAAGCCAGGGGTACTTTAGGATTAGACTAATAATAACGACTTATAAAAAATTAAAACCAACTTAAAGCCTAATGACAATAATTCATATTTTGCACCTGACCTATAGCAAACACTAGTTGACATGAAAAAAATATAATATAGAAGAAGCATCATACACAGATGACTTTGGAAGGTTCTAGAAGTAAACAGGAAGTACATCTCTTGAATGGCTTGCTTAGTTCTTAAGTCTTTTGTTAGCTGTATATAATAAATGTTTTTTGATTTAAATTTTAGTTAGTCTATATCATATAATAGGTTATTGGGTTTTTGTAAATTTATAAGGAGTAAATTTTGGAATATGCTTTCAGACAAAAGCAAGGATTTATTTTCATAATTCATCCCCTATAATATGTTTGCAACTCTATCTACATATGCTGCTATGAGTCAAACCAAATTGACAGCCCTTAATTAATCAATACGCTTGCACTAACAATATTATAAAATTATGTGGCCATTGGCTCTGAAACACCATTCCTTACAACATTCAGTAGGTCTGGGTGAATGATTATGAAGGAAAATAGAAAAGGAAGGTAAAGACTTGTGATATCTGCTAGGGACAGTTGCTGGGCCTGAAATGGTGGCAACATTCTCTGTCAGCAAATTGAATTGTTTGCATCAGATACCATAGAGAATAACTTTCCATACTATGGGTTAATATGTGATATCAACAAAAATTAAGATGGAGCAGCCACATGGATGTCTGAAACAATGTATATAATTGAAGTAATTTCTCTCTCCTTCACTGAGCATCTATGGCTCCTTAGCTTATTCATGGCTCCATTATATGTTAACATGTGTTGTGATTCACCACTCAGGAATCCTGATCCTAATTATAATGCTGTCTTTTTTGTGTGTACTGGCCTATAATTTGAACCCCAAATACTCAAGAGTGAAATGAAGCAATGCTTTATGGCTCATGTCCTGACACGCACCAGTGATCTGCTGATGTGTCTTTTCACACAGACTCCAAGAATACAAAACCAAATGTGTTTAATAAAATGCACAAAAACAGAACATCAACAAATGATGTATTCTTTCTATTGGAAAGAAAAAAATATTATTAGCCTGCCTGGTTTATTTTTTTTAATAAGGTAAGCTGTAAAATGTATACTTTCTTTATTCAATTCTCAATATATATGGCCTTGATATCTGTTGTTGAAAGAGGTGAGATCATAGGCGAGTTATTTATTGAGTCAGATCTGAGTCTTATCAAAATGGAATGCAAATATACATGTATATCTTGAGATACTTGCTGGTGTCCCCTTTCTCTGGCGATTATTCATATACATCCCACTCTCTTGTTTCTATAACTGTGAGGCTGAAATTCTGTCTTAAATTGAGACTTATTAGAGATGGTTGCTGAGGACTTGCGTACATTTTCTAATATCAAACATATTAATCTGTATTATTAGAGCATAGCGAGATGATTATCAGTGGCTTTGCCATCTTGTACTCACTATAACCCTCTGCACATATCCACAAAAGAAGAAGCACTCTGTAGGCTATGAACATAGAGCGAGAAAGAAAATATTATGGACTTGTTAAGTAGCATGACACTGGCAGTGTGCCATGCTTAAATTCTCAGTATGAGAGATAATAGCTGGGTGAGAAATGTTTAAAAGATGAAATTGAAAAAAGAAGTCAAATTTGGTATATATTTACATAGATTTGTTGTTGCTTTTTAATTGAAAAGAAAATAAAGCAAAAAGGAAGGATAATCAGGCTAGGCAAACAATCAAATGTATTTTCAAATGTAGGTGAGGTTCATTTGCCTTTAATTGACAGATATAAGATTCTTTGGAAAAGACATTCAATTTTGGCACTAAAAAAAACTAGACATAATTTTTCCCAGTTTAAGAAAGACATGAAAGAAAACTGTGCAAATAAAAGGATAAGATGGGCGAGCTGCTTGGTCCATTGGAAAGTGCATTTCCACATTTAATGGAAGCATGAAAAACTATAGAGATCACATATTCACTTTATAACTAAGTGTACGGTAATCAAACTTCATACATGAGAATTTCACTCAGATTCTCATCTTCTTTGAAAGAATTTATATAGCAAATTCTCTTAGAACTGACAGAAATGAAATTCAGACATTGGGGCGATGTAAAGTGCAGCAATTTCACTCTAGTTGAGCCCCATAAGCTACTATCTTCTGCTTATAGATATAACATTTGAGTCCCTTTGTGTTATCTATATAGCTAATAGTAGCCAGGGAAAAGATGTGTCTTTATGATGGTTATGTTAGGGTGACAATGGAACTCTTCTCCACTCAGTAATAAATTCCAGTAATAAAATATTGGAATTACATCCAATCATGTAATTTGACAATGAGTAAATTGGCTTGTTCTGTTTATTGCAAAGAAACCTTCTGAGCTATGTTGTTTTAATGCTGCTGCTAAGCAGGTAGTGAGTCAGTGGATTTGGAGATTAATGGGTTAAATTAAAAGCTGTTCATAGGTTTCCAAAGGGAAAGTGCAATATAAGTATGATGATATTATTCTTAAGTATATTTTGTACATTCAAACAGATTGGAGAGTACCAAAGTGGGACTCGTTTATTTTTGTTTTATAGGCAAATAACTGCAAGCTAGGGAATAACACAGCAGTGAGCATGATTTGGATAGGTGGGAAGATATTAAAGAAATTATGAAACAATCAGTTTTAAATACCCAGAAGACTATGTGGGTGGCTGCATTATATTGCATGCTGTAATGTGAAATGATTACCTAATGCATTATATAAGCTGTTTGTGAAACTGCTCACCGGCGGAATCATATGGAAAAGGGGGAAAGTCAGGAACAAAAACAAACAAACAAACAAACAAACAAACAAACAAACAAACAAAAACCACAAGTGATTCAAATATATTTTTTCCCAATGTTTCTTGTTTGTCAAGAACCACTTTCCATCTAGTATCTATATATCAAAAATGATTTATGAAGTAATTTAATGAGTTTATGTTGGTTGATCACTGTGTTGCTATTTGTTTAGCCCTGACATTTACAATATGGGCCTACAATACCAGGGAAAGGTATCAAGTTTATTCAGTCAATATTAAATTAGCAATAGAACAGTTACATATTTCTGAAATATCATGCATACAGTTAATCATGTAATCAGGGTTCAAAGTTGGACACCAAGAAGTCTTTGAGTATGGATGAAAAAAGTTTGAGATATAGAATATCTATTAGAAGTGGAAAATCTCTATTAAACGCAGAAAAAATTGAAAGATACAATAAGAAGATTGAAAAATATCTCTAGAATGCATACAGAAAAATCATGTTCAGCATGATCTTTCACAGCCAAGTCCTGGCATAACACTTGGGGAGAAATGGGGAAATCAGAATGAGCTTCCCCCTTTTATTCTCACTTGGAATCCCCCAGCGATGCTGGAGTTTTCTTGCCCCTGGGCTTGAGATTTTTCTTTACTGGAAATGGATCAACATCCTTACATACTGTCTCACATCTCAATTAACTTAATAATGGAGGGTATATCTATTATTATGATTAATATT